GAATTGAGTAATACTTGATGTTGTTTGCCATAAAGGCAATGATCACATGGCTTTAAGGCACTCCCTTTGGATAAGGGTATTCTGGATTGCTTTGCCAACAGATGCAATCCCTTCTCACTCATGTGAGCCAGTCTTCTGTGCCATAAGTCCGGTGACTCCTTGTCTTCTGCTGCATTAAGACTTTCCAGACAGATCTTCATTTGAGTCTTATACAGTGTTGAAGACATCTCTCCTCTAGCGATTGTCAAAGCTCCTCTATTACGGAAGAATAAGGGATTGCCTCCATTTCTTTCATTGAAAAGCTGGTCGTGGGACACGAACGCTTCGTCACATTGAAATGGTTGGCCAGTGGTGTGTTGACTGGCTCGGCATCTTTCATGTTGAACCTTTCAATCACCCGTTCAACATATTTCTCCTGTGACAGCCATATTTTCTTGGCTTTTCTATCATGAACAATCTTCATGCCCAAAATTTGCTGTGCTGGGCTAAATTCTTCATGTTAAAATACTGCGATAAGTCCTTTTTCAACTTGTTAATCATGGTAGTATCATGTCTGATGATCAGCATATCATCGACATATAATAGTAGGATAATGAAGTTTCCATCCGAAAACCTTCGGAAATATACACACTGGTCTGCCACCGTTCTTGTGTACTCGTGATCCACCATAAATGAATCAAACTTCTTGTACCATTGTCTCGGCGCCTGTTTCAGGCTGTAGAGGTATATGCTCAGCCTGGTTTCTGTGAATAATTCCTACTGAACGCTGCAAAATCTCAACCATCTTCTGGCTGGACTTAAAAAAAAAATGCTATTATGAAGTTTCCTTCAATTCCCATTGAAAAATGAGGTTGTTCTCAGTTTTGAAGTAGAGTACTTGAATAAAGATATGGTTTTCAAAATTTAGTGACTAGGAATGACCATGCTCAAGGCCAATTTACAAGTTCGGGCAGATAACTGAATTCACTTCAGATTTGCCCATCCTCAATACAAGACAACTAATAATAATCCAAAAGTATAGATTCCATGCACAATACTTGTACCACAATCATTTGCCTCAATTTAATTTATTTTTGGTTAATTTTACCTTTATTCCTAAACTATTGTCATTTTTATTATTATTATTTAATCCTTAAACTATTTATTAAAACTATTTAGGCATTCAAATTTCCAACCCAGTTGATATGGTCAAATTGAAGACAATCGGTAATGGTGTAAACCCAACATGCAAAAAGATAATTTTATAATTTGAACAATCCAAATCATACAATACAACCAAACACCTATTTTCTTACCCACACTATATTACATAACTTACCCCATACAATTAAGCATCCATTTTTTCCTCTCATCATTTAAAAAAAAAAAAGTATATATAAGTATTTGTGTTTTCCTACTTATGTGACACATTCTAAAGGCTTACTCTATTATAAAAAATCACATCAGTATGTTTTTCCATTTATATTAAAGTTCTACACAAATTCAAGTTCAATTATAATAACCAATTTTATATGAATTTTATTTGAGAAATACTTATTTTTCATATATATAATTATAATGTAATTATTATGATACTGAAAAAATTATATAATATACAAATAAATAAATAAATAAGACAGAATGTGGTTAATTATGTCTATTGCACGGATTAAATTAATTTTTTTTATATTTTTTATTTTTTGTCTATCTTATTATTCTTAATATTAATTTTATATTAATTTTTTTATTTAACATGAACTCATTTATTACAAAATATTTATATTTTAATTTAAAATTTTATATACCTATATAAAATATGTATGAATAATTCAAAAAGAATAGTAAAGAAAAAATCAATACTCTACATAATAATTTATGTATTTTCTTTTTAATCCAATCACAACATATTTATATATTTAGTTTAAAAAAACTAATTATATTAATCTTTTAAATAAATTTTGTATAATTCTATTTCTACATATTTTTATTTTTCCAAATAAATATAAAAATTAAATTAAATAATTAGAATCACTTTTATTTTTATATTACTAATTCTATTATATTAACTATTACTTTTAAAATAAGTGTTTATTTTACTATCTTATAATTATATTATAATATAATCATTATATTGATAATTTAAGTACAACATATTTATATTTAATTTTTAAATAAATTTTATATGGTTTTTATTTCTACATATTCTTGTTTTCCAAATGACTATAAAATAAAATTAAATAATTAAAATCACTTTTAATTTTGTGTTACTAATTCACCTTCCAATTTAACTATATTTTAATGGAGGTGTTTGGGTAAGAGAGAGTAGGTCTAAAATAACCCACCTAAAACAAAATAGACTAAAATAGTCAATAATACAAATATAACATCAACCCATAATTATTTTCTTTTTTCTCTCACAACCATCAAATCAACTAAAAAAACTTTCCAAATACAACTATTTTAGTTAAGCTAAAATAGCTAAAAATCAATAAAATAGCATACTTTCCAAGCAAAGCCAATATCAAAATGAGTGTTTTATTTTATCTCTATTATAATTTAATACATATCATAAAATTGGTTATATAATAATTATACTTTTTATAGTATAATACAAATTAAATTATTAAATAATAAATAATTTTAACTAATTTATTATATATAAATTTTCAAATAATACTTTTATAAAACAATAGTATTTAAAAATAATTAAAATAAATAATTTAAATTTATAACATATATAATAATATTACCAATATCATTTTGAAAATAAAAAAAATTTAACCCACTGGGTCAACTGATGGTAAATATATAGTATAAAAAATTTATCTTATAACTCGAAAAGGAGCTTGAATAGACTGAATTAGTATTTATTAGAGAATCGGACAAAATACTTATTTATCGCGATTATTATTTTGTCGACTGTGATTGTAGTCTTTCGTCAGATGATTAGTCGAATAATTGTTATTTTCGACCGCGATTGTTAGTCTTCTTGTCAGACGACCAACCAAAAAACTGACCAATAAATAAATTTCGAACCATTCAAGACAAACTCAAATCCGAGCTAGCTAGGAGTATTGACAGTATAGAAGTACCGTAGCATAGTACGAACTAATACGTCCACGTCATCCACGCCCAGTTGCCAAAAGATGACACATACCCATTAAAGTCTGGAAACCAGTTAAGAAAAAAGTGGTCGGTTACCAAGGACTCCTCTCTTCCAATTCAAGTCTCTCTCTCTCCTCTCTCTCTATATATATTATATATATACAGAATCAAATCTCTCCATTGAAACCCTACCAAGTGTCAAAGGTAACAACAATAATTTTGGCTTTCCCACCACACTCCACATGGTGTGGGTGGCACCATGTGCTAAAGAAAAGTGGTGAGGGGAACACCAACTCACAAGGAAGATAGTGAGGGTGGCATTCCCCTTGGCCAATTATGGCTGTACTTTACCTATCCTTTTCTCTTGGTTTATAAATTGAGATGAGTGAGGAGGGGTTAAGGACACGATGAGAGTGACACACGAGAGCTGAAGAAAGCAACACAGAGTGTATATCTGTGGTGAGAGTGCGATTCCTATAGAGGGTTGTGAGGTGTGAAGTTGTTAATCTCCCTCCGGATAATTCTATAGTGGATTCACTCGCATGGATGTAGGCATTGCCGAACCAACGTAAAATCTCTCTGTGTAGTGTGTTGATTGATTTCTAGTGTCCCATAGCCCAAAATGGTATTAGAAGCCTCGTCAGTCTCGTTTCGGACAAAAAAACAGAGTGTTTTCCGATAAACTGCCCAAAATCAAGTTGCTACGATAATCAGGTTTTGAGCATAGCAGGAGCAGGTCTCCTAAAGAGCAGTCCAAAACTGCAAGGAAAGAGGCCCAGAAGGACCTGGATGCGCCCGTCACCCGTCCCTTTGAGAATTGGTGTGTGATTCCACGCGCATATACGAGCTTTTCAAGCGCCGTCAGCGGCTCGGCGCGGTTTCACTGCTCTCACACGCGCCTCACGTGCGGCGCAAGGGTGGAAGATGAGCCACATCAGCGCCACGCAGCACCCACATCACTGCCCACGTTGGCTGCCAACATCACCCACGTCAATCTCAGTTGATGTTGATCGGCCGAAGTCGAGCCGCCAGAAGCCGTGACTATTAAGCCGTTGACTGAGCGC